GGCGCTCCGGCACGACTCTCGGTTATTACACATCCATTATGCATATTCCATCGCCCAGTGCTCCTGCTATTTACGCAAAGTCCAACTTCCTCCAGGCTGCTCTCATTCATAGAGCGTTCCGTAACCGCCCTTGCCCAACCGCGAAAAGTTCCCCACTGCTCGGAGAACTTCGGGTCCGAACATCGCGGTGAATAGACGGAAACGAACATTGTGCGAGGACGCTGTCAGCGAGTTTATGTCTCGCCTGGGAGGGCGTGTTACGAAGCAAAAAGTTTGGTGGTAAGATGCTTTCATGCGACGGAACTTTTTATACAGCCTGGTCGGAAGATTGGGGATCTGAATTTTCGGTTACACCTTAGTGCGTCAGCCTGGCTTGACTGACCAGAAGCTCCGTTTGACAAATCGGAAGCTCTGTACAATGGATCAAAAGCTCGGTCTTTTGAGCAGAAATATCGGTTAAAAGAACGGAGAGCACCGCCAAATGAACCGTATAGTGTGATGATTTACATATATGTCACCAATTGTTCCCTTTCCTCCTTTTTTTTCACTCCATAATAAGATATATCGACGGTAAAACAACTAAACCGCGTATCTCGGTTTGAGACGTCGCAATTTCCTGTCGTACTTTAAGATTTAATAGAGAAACCTCTCAACGTCAATTTTTGTGAACTTTCATGATTTTTTTCTCCGTACGAAGAAAATTCTGTAAAAACTTCAAGGAATTATATTAATTTGTTTTCCTATAAAAAAATAAAATGGGAGCGGAGATTTTTAAACACCGCAAACTACATACGTGGTTTAGGAGTTTCACTGGCGATGTATTTAGTCCTGGATGAAAAGAATTCCTGTCAGCTCCATATGGTTTAAACACACCACTGCCTCAGAGTGACAGAATTTGTTAAGTTAAAATTTTAACTGTTACATCTATGGCTATTTTTTAAATAAACCCACACTTAACATAATGGACTTCATTTTGAAACATTTAGGAACATTTTTTTTTTCATTTTAGGAACTAAAATTTTAGGCTCATCTTTGTAGGGGCCCACCCGCAAGAAAACTAATGACGCATGCGTTGTTTCTGAAATGAGCTAAAGAGAGCAGTTCCTTATTGCAGATCGTAACCTAATCTTCATTTTCCAAAGCGGAGCTTTGTTTGTAGTTAATTCTATTCAACTTGCCAACAAGGTCAGGTTACATTTCCCATTACGTGTCCTCTCCAGGCCACTCGGTTTCTCTACTTCCATTACAGCACTTCCATACCTCCTCGCTTTGCAGAAACCACCGATAGGCGTAGGATTACCACTACGGTTACGTGCTTCCACTGTAGGGCAACATGCTGCACGCATTTCACCCGACAACGCGACAACCCTGCCAGTAACCTCAACAGAGACATAAAGAGACTACCGCGATGGCTATCGGCAGTTGCGTAACCCGCGCGATGCGCCATCTATCCTGCCGTGCTAAGGAAAAACGCCGTATGAACATTCAAGAGTTGCCAAATTCCCTTCGATAAAATGTTTATTTTAAAGGAAATTTATGAATATTTTTCCTTCAAATTTTCAGAACCTTTAGGTGAAATTGTGAACTGGATTATCTGAAAAATTGAGAGGAAAATATTCATAAATTTACAAGGAAATTCCCATTTTATGAGAGGAAATTTGGCAACGCCTGAAGGTTCATACGGCGTTTTTCCTTAGCACGGCAGTATCGGTCCCCGGTGAGCGCCATAGAATGAGAATGCGTGATTAGCACCGAAAAGAAAGGTTACCGAATTAATACGCTCTAATGAGCCGCATTGACCGGCCAATATTGAGCGGGTCGTCCGTCATAAAAGTGACAAAAGTGCAGAAATTAGAAGCCCAGCCGTCCGGGTCATTGCATCACCACACCGCACAGTGGATCGAGTCAGTATAGGAGAGGTCGGAACAAGTTTAGAAACTTTAAACGCCAATAACTCCGTTTATAAAAAACTTTGAGGTTCCAAACGTAGCTCGAAAAGTTTCCTCGTGAGATTTGCTACCAGACTGGCCTCTTGAAATTTAAAATTTGACAAAATAAAAACCAAAATTATCAGTTCTAGTCGAAACTCTCATGTCCGACCTCTTTAATTGGCTCGATCCACTGTGCGCCGCGGACCGTTCTGGCACGCAACAAATGCGCGTTCTGGGTCTGGGAAGTTTTGTCACGCGCGGGGCGACCTGAGTGCAGTCGGGTCGACCGATGCACTGTGTCTGTGTGCACAGTGTATTTGTGTGACGTCATGTACCGACAGCGATCTGAGAAAAATTGGATCTCGCAACTGTGGCGTGTGGTTTGATACACTTACTATTTGTGTACTCGTCGGTGATCCACATGCGGGAAAATCGAACCTATCTTTTTTGTGGAAACTTGGTTGTTTTTTCTATCCCGGCGTTTAAGTCTTTGCGGAATGCTGACAGTTTCTGCGAATGCTGTCGTTTTCTGGGTGCTCTCCGCAAGGTTGCCCAATCGCTCTAGCTTTACTCAATCAGAAAAGGGATAAGGTCAACAATAATCATAGCAAACAAACAGGAAAATACAACTGTATTGTGATGATGGTTATTTTCCATTAAAAATAAAGAGGGCTATTCTGCAGAGATTGGCTTTGAGTCTTCTGAGATAGTCATTCTCAATAAACCACAGTCGGACATTTAATTCGCTCAAAAAGTCTCCTTAGATGGAGGGGGTGGAGGGGGGGATGTATCCAATAAGTAGCTGCGGTCAAATTATTCAAAGACTGATTTATAAATGATCAAGCCCAATTTTCGCTAGATGTAAAATGTTAAAAAAAAATGTTATCAAAAAGTATAATAAAAGTGAGCTTTTGTCTAGAGCTATGAAGCCAAACATGTATTACGACTTTTTTTTATATTTTTCCTACTTATCAAGAAATATTCCATCCTTCACGGAATGACTCACGTGAAAGTAAAATCCAGAATATACACAAAAAATCACAATTGTGGCGTTTTCCATTTCTCGTCGAAGTACACGCTATACAATTGCAAATAATTTATTGGGCTCTTTTCTGCGAAAACAACCATCAAGTTTGGCACACCACTCCGATTATATTTTCAAATCCTCTCACTATGGACGACCTTGCCCGTGCGAAAACAACTTGTCGAAGATGGACCGCCAAACTGGTTTGCTCACTGGAATTTGATTAATTGCGAATCTTGAGCGCCGTTTGACCGTGTCTCCATTCTGCGAAACCGATGATGAGTTGATTAATATTTCAGAGGCTCATCCTTTTGACGCATCCCTCGCTTGTTCTCAGATTTTTTGACACGGTCAGCAATAACCACGCTACGATTATTTTTTTGAGGCCGGTAGTATTCCTGCGCTCTTCTGTATGCTTTTCCATAAAGGCTCTCGGGCTATTGAAGGTTGTTCGACGTAAATTTTTGCGAAATACGAGGAACGCCTCCACATCCGTTCTTTAAATAGCCCCTCTCTTTAGAAAATCCGAAAATTGTTTACTTCGTGATTAAAAAGGCCTTTAAAGTAGCACTTACATAAGTAATTGGCACGGATTCAATCTACACATCCTAAAATCAAATTGACGTTAGCAAATTTTAGAATCTTCTCACGAACAATGTAAAATGTTGTAAAATTTGTGGAAAATCGAGGTAAAAGAGAGTGTGAAAACTTTTCGTGTGATTATATATTAATATGCCATGAGAGGTCCTTAACTCCTAAAAGGTGCATAATTTCTACCAAGCTGAGAGTCTATTTTTGTTTCAATAATCATATTAACATCAATGGACATTTCCGGTGTATATTAATGAGATCATACGATATTATTTTAGCTGAAAGGCGCACTTACTTACTTGTGAATCAGACACGCTGTTGGTGGCTTTCAGAAGGGGTGCAGGAAGGTATAACTAATTGATCCAATGACTTAAGAAAATCAAAGTAAATTATCGTATTTGTAGATTTATTGTAACACCAGTAGTAATCGGATGGGGAAAATTACGTGGGGTTCAGATTCGCACTTTGATTTTGTAATATTGATTATTTTTGTTAGGTAACTTAAATTTAGGGATGTTTTTTTCGCACACTTTCAAAGAGAGGATTTCTGATACCTCGCTGTGGTTTTGTAACATAAACGGGAATATCTAAAAGCACCAAGGAGGACGAGATCTCTTTCATTGTCGTGCTATTACAAGCCGAATTTTCTGTAAGTTAAGAACATGATTTATTCTATAACAGGGAGGAACGCATACCTATGGTATAGTGTGGACATGTCCTCAACTAGTAAAGATAGTTAATATGCCCTAGTTTTGTAAAAGTAACTGTCACAAAAATCACTGACGTTCCCAATTTTGTTTCAAAATACAACTAACTCAAAAAGAAGGACTTTTGATTGCGGAAGAAAATTAGGAAAAACTGACCATTTTACAATGTTTTTGATTCATGACAATCCCTTTTTGTTACCTAATTGGAAAAAAAAACTTTGGTTATAAGAACCGATGTACGGATATTCAATGTATATGAAACACTAAAGTTTCCGGTTCAGGTTACCAAAGTTTCCAGTGCAAAGAATCGAGCTTCAGTTTACATATATTGAACTCTCTGGAATAGAGTTAAATTTTCGCATGGCTAACAAAACCTGGGTTATCTGAAAGAAAGTTCGGTTCGTAGGACAGAAAACTACGGTTACCTGGACTAAAAACTTTAGTTGTCCATAAAAAAGGAAGTTTTTCGTTTATGTGGTTTACACTTTATCCTGATGATACTTTTCTGGTAGCATGAAGCTTGACATCTACGAATCAAAAACTGTTATGTCAAACCTCTTGGACCAAAAACCAATCAGTAACGAAACCGGGTTGAGAATAAATCAAACGCCAGTAACATATACGTGACGCATGAAACACTTAATCCAATCGAAAACACTCGACGAAGCCGGCACGAACACGTCACAAACACATACGAGGGTAAATAATCCATGCTGGGTTAATTAGAGAAAAATGAGTCCAACTCACAAGAAACAAGATCCTCATGGTAACCGACACAGGACACAAGACACAAGATACAAACTGCTCACAACGAAAACACTGAGTGCACTAGAGGTGCTGTGGGCCGCCCTTCTTTATAACTTCTGGTCTGGGGGGGAACCCACTGCCAGAGAGAGTGCCCGGCCGGCTGGAGCGACCAGCGGGCCCCACCATGGCTTCACTCCAATGGTAAAGAGTGTATATTTTTTTGGTTTTGCCCTGAAAGGTTCAAAATTCTTGGGGCATGATTTCCTGATTGAAGTCACCAGTAAATGAAAGAGGTGAATTATACCTGTGTGTTGTCGAATAAAGTGAATTTATTTTTTTAAAAAAAAATTTCATCACGCCGAGTGGCTCTGCAAAATTTAAAGTGATGTTGTGGCGCTGATAAATTGAGATTGTCAGTTTTCTGTGAGGCAAAAATAATTTAAGCAATATAATTGAGGCAATTTCTCAAAATAATTTTTATTTGATGTCATTTACACTCTCCATTTTCGGTGCTTTTAATTTGCTGTCAGTTTGATCCAATGAAAAAATAAAAATGAGTACATACTTTCCTTGGAGGAAAAAAAAAATCATAATTGAAGGGCTTGGATGACAAGGCGCATAAGTGCAATTTTTGATATTTCGAGAAATACGTCTTTTAAGTTTCGAAATTTCATGGATCCCTATGGCGGAGAGAACGACAGAATTTTTTATTCTTAAAAATTGGAATTTGGCACCGAATTTCTCACCGAACATGCAAGAAGACTAGTTTTACTCGAAATCATTAGTATATAATTTTTTTTCAAAAACTGCACCAAAAACGAACACCACGCTGTAGCTCAGTAAAAGCACAAAATGAAAGAAAAAATGAAAGTGCTTTGGAAATCATTGAATTTGACACGGAACCACCTTAATATTTACAAAACACACATTATATTTGCCTTGTCCTCCAGGCCCCTCGATTTTACTCGTGTTTTTTTTTTTCCTTTTTTTAAATCATTTTTTTTTGTGCTTGGTATGTGTTTAAAAGGAGTAATTATCGCATTTCCATTTACAAGCGTAATGAGGAAATGACACTCATGATAGAAAACTTGACAGAAAGATAGGGCGTGACATAAGATTCACTTCAACGTCCATGTTTACGTGTAATCGTATGCAATGGATGTTTCTTTTGCATACTTAGATAAATGAAGGCGATTTTGTTTTACATGACCTCACACCGCGATGTACTATAAAACCAATTTATATATGTAATAAAGATAAAAACAAAGACAAAATATTGCTTATATATTTCTCCAAGATTGTCTTCAATCAAAATGAAATGTATTAATGTAATTTTTTAGGTTTATTTTCTTCATTTTCTGCAGAAATTCTGCCTCCAACTTGCAGTATTGTTTTTGGTTATTTTCCTTCATCTTATTTGCTTGCAGCGTTTATTGCAGCGTTTCTTAAAAGACCTACTTTTGATGAAATCATCTTTGAAAGTTAATTCAAAGCTATTAGCTGTCATATCTGACGTTTTGAAAGCAGAATATATCACATAGAAGTGATAATTACTAGACATTTTAAAAACTATGAAAAACTTTTGAAAGGATAAAATGATGACTAAGCCCTACTCATTGGTTCGGCTAAGGTTCGATTGCCACTTAGACTAGAATATTATCCGTTATATTATGTGAAAGCGTTTTTTTTTTTTTTTTTTTTTTTTTTTTTTTTTTTTTAATTTAAATTTTTTGGGGGGTTGCAGACCCGTGGCACGGTTGCGCTACGCAAGGAAGCGGGCTCCGAAAAATCCGATTTGTCAGCATTGCGTACTGTATAAATGGCGTCTACAATGGAAAACGAATATGTCGATCTTGAAGGGAACGGCCTTTTCTGGTCGTTATCTCCTATAGTTAATAAAACAGATAGTTATGTTTTTACGCGGTCCCTTTAAATTGAATAGCAAAGAGTAAAGCTGTGCTGGCGCTAGGGTATGAAGACGAGGTTTCCTTATTTGAGGGGAAGAAGAAACACCACTATTTTTAACACAGCATTAATATATTATGTTTTTTTTTAAAATTACTTTTGTTTTATTTTATTTTATAGGTATGTACACTGACGTTTGTCACACGCGGTGTGTACTGGTCAGAAAGTATGAACTCCGCGGGCGGCAGGTGCAGGCGATCTTCATAAAGTACGCATGCAGTCTTGTAGATGCTGATATGCGCTTCACGCCGATCGCCCTGTGTTTGGCGCAATGCGTGAAGTATCCACACGGTCTTGTAGGCGCTAGTGTACATGCCACGTCGAGGCCGACCAAGCCGACCGTGCTGTGTTTGGCGCAATGCGTGAAGTATTCCCACAGTTTTGTAGGCGCTAATAGTATGCGTTTCATGCCGACCGCACTGTGTTAGGCGCTATTATTCAAACGGGCAAAGTTGAGCAGTTTCCATTTGCCTTGGTAGTTTGATATATTCTTAAATAGAGAGCATCAAAAGTGCATTACCTCGCTGGGCAAAGCTTCGGTCATTGTAGTCGATAGCCTAGCCCAAAATTTCAAGGAAAATCCGTCGTTAAGGCCGATACATCGCTATATGCGATGTCGTCATAAAGAGGGCGTAAATAAATTGGTTAAACATCAACCGAGACCGGTCAAATTGCGTCGTTATGCCTGACAGGTCGTTATATCAGATGTCGTTATGTTCGATATCTACTATATTTATTTAATTTTAATTTACCAACGTCATTCCCAATTTTCTTATTTGTTCGGTCTGATGGTCGAGATTTTGATTCAAAGATGACACCGTGCATTAAGTAAAAAGCAAAAAGGGATCCAAAAGTTCAGTATAATGACCTTGATTTGTTGAGGTTTCGGAAAATTGGTAGATTCCATAATCATGAAAAAAACGGGGGAGAAGGAAAGGGAAAAGAGGAAGCAGAGAAGAAAAACAACAACAACAACAAAGTAGAAAAAATCAGCAATGAAGAAAAAAAATAAAACACGCAAAGAAATCATTTATTTCAAAATTCAGCCTCCTTTCCCCCAGCTGCCATCCATTTCACCACGTGAAAGGCAAATGCTCATTGAACTTGAGCGAAAAAAAGGGGGCAAATCAACAAGATCTATGACCATAAGATGATCACTATCACGCTGAAATTCAGCTTGTCGCCACAGCAACGTAACAATACACTTGTTGTAGCTCTTTAGTGTTCAAAAGCGAGCCGCTAATTTCAACAGCGGCGCCTCCGTGGAATGGAATGACGGGTGGATGTTCACGAGAGTCAAGATCCGACATTGAACTGAAATTCCCATCTGTCCAGCACCAGGAGTCGCGGGGCGCATCATGAGCAGCCGGGAGCGCGCCGCCGCGTTAATAGATGCGCCTCATAATCATGCGGTTGGTATTGACATTTCGGAACGGTGCCACTGACTCAAGCCGCTCCGAGCGCATCATTGCCACTGCAGAGACTAAAATTTTGGCTCAGCACGTGTGGGTGTGAAGCAGGGTTATTTATCGCTAATTTTCTTTTTTAGGTCACGCAGCACTGTAAGCACAAGTGTGCCCCTTTGAATGGCATAGTATGCAACATTTTTCAGGCGTTGTGTATTTGGTGAGAGAAAAAATGATAATAAAACATTTCGGTTTTGGAAAAACCGTGTGAGGAAATTTAGACAGTTCAAAATGATGTTATGGCAGATACTTGGTGGTAGCAGATACTGGTTGTGAAACGAATCTGTCATGTCAAGGAAGAATTTCGTTCGAGCCTCCAGACGTTACCATAATTCCCTTAATAAAAAACGAATTTACTACGAAAATTACAAATATTTTCCTTTAAATTTTTAAGACAATTTTTTTCGCAGCTTAATCTAAAAAATATGAATAATTGAGAGTAAAATATTCATAACTTCCCTCAAAAACACACGTTTTATCCATGGAAATTTGGCAACTCTCGAATGTTGATACGATGTCCTTTCTTAGCACGGCAGAAATGGGGGTATCTATGGATTTAAACTAAATTAGCTGAGCTAAATCAGACGTTGCCTAAATTTCTCTGATTTTTTTAAAATGAAATACCAAGCAACACTGGAACCAAACTTTTTGTGAGTATATTATTTATAATCTAGGTTAAACCCTCAGAAAATACGTTTTTAAAAAAAGCTGAGGTGCCTGCAACTCTTGTTTTTTTAGTTTTTTTATTTGTTAATTTTTGTAAGCTAAAGTACATTCTACCATGTTTAATTAATTATACATCATTAAAATTTAAAATATATTGTAATTATAGACTGATGATTATAATTCTCATCTGTGTCCCTTCACGAAGTCACGAATGCTCACCGATGGGATACGTTGAAGAACATACTCCTGGATGTTTGTTCTCATCTTGATAAGCGACGTCGAGGTGAAAAAAAATATCGAAAAAAATAAATTACATGGCGCTTGCTATATTTTTTCATCAACCGTGGGTAAGAAATAATTGAGCCAATCGCGTGATTTTATAGCCGCGGCGTATTCTTTCGATTTGAACATTGCAAGGTTTTGCAAGCAAATTTCTCACCTTCACTTGTGCATCACAGCGTTGTGGCAATGAGTGTGATTCTTAAAACTTTTCACAGAGGCTCATGACTAAAACCGTTACAATAAATGAACTTAATGAGAATAGAAGTTCTGATTTTCTCTTCGGGAACCAGCAGATATTGAATCTCCTGTTTGCGTGATTTTTTTTTTACTTAAAATGAATGCGACACAAGAAGGACAAGTAAAGGTATAATACTAACTTATCGGAAAGAACGAAATGAAACTCCAGTAGTTATTAGAGAATTTTACATGGTCTTGGAACTTTTGAGTTCAGCTAGAATTTCAATGACAATCTTATACATATTCATCGCTAAGTCTGGTTCAATTTTCTCAAATTTGAGGACACATCCTAGATAATAAGAAAATAGTATTTTCCACAAAAAAAAAAAAAAAAAAAAAAAAAAAAATTAACATTAGGTCAGTTGCATTAGTGATACATTTTTGCCCCGATGGTCAGAAATTTTATATATGAAATAACAGAACTTACAGGGTCCTAAAATTTTCGGGTCGAACGCTTTTGAGTCCTTTTTCTCAAA